TTATCACTGTTTCTTTCTTTTTATTTATTTCTCCTCCCGTTCTGCTTCATCCTATTGACTCTTTTTGCTCCCTTGAAAGGTATGTGCCTTGAATGTTGTTTTCATCTGACATCACCTAAAAGCTATTCTCTCCTGAATCACCAGATTTTCTTTGTATCACTTTCTTGTTCATGATCTTTGATTCTTAAACAATTCTTTCACATTCTTTAACAGAATGTAATTGAAATTCACATCGTGTAATGTTCACGTTATAGAGTTGTGACCTGTCAACACATACATATCAATGTTACAGGTAACATCTGAGAAGCTCAGAGTTTCCAAGTTTGGGAAGTTTCTGCTAAGAATATATTTCTTTTTATCAATCTTGTCTCTGAGGTGGGATGAAAATGCATACTTCTATTAATGTAAATTTTTTCATTCCCATCTTCTGCAAAATGCAGATTGACTCCTGACAGGGTGTCCATGTGTCCTCATCAGTCATCACTGTGTAACAAAATCGGAGCTTCACTTGCCACAATGCCTTTTGTTTGAGTATTTTTCTTTACCGGCCCATTCAGAAATATTAGCCTGGATGACCCGGTAAATTTACCGTGAATGCCAACAATTCATCCATGATAGATAGACATAATATTTATCACCATTCCAACTTATATCATCAGCTTTCAAATTTCTTCTTGGAATGAAAAGGCAGAGTAAAAATATAAATCTTAAATGGCTTAGTTAAATCTGCAAATCTTGATGACTCCAAATTTTTCGAATGAGATACTCAGGGGGAGAAATAGCCTAATATTTGGGTAAATATGGAACCTTACTCTGGTTCACAAATCTTATTACATTCTGTTAAATTTTCCAATCTTATTACATTCTGTTAAATTTTCCAGTCATCTTACTCTCATTTTCCTTAGTTTTCCCCTTTCGTATTCCATTTATATATTTTCTCATCTCCTGGTTTTTCTATTGTTTTACCCTTCTTGATGTTCATTTTTATATTTCTTTCTTTCTGAATGTTTTGTATGCAATTGCTGACCAGTACCAAGTATAAACTTAATTAACTGAAAGCGGATACAACTTAAATAATGGGTGCTGTAACTAAAAGCACAACTATTGTCAAGCAATTGTTTTTCCTTTTTGCCTATATCAATGCCAATGAATATTTTCTATTATGAATATTTGGGGTTAACTTCACTGACTTTGCCTTGTATTCACTTTCATTGATCTTTTGCAGAGAAATGAAGGATATGAACACACGGCAAGCCAAGATCTCTGTTGAAACAATGAAAGAGGTGGCAAATGACAAGACACTGAGAACAAAAGGTGAAAAAGATCGCCGGCTGCGTGAAAAGAAGCAAAACAACACAAAGAAGTTCATGGATGAACGCAAAATGGCGCAAATGAAGCAGGGCAAGGAACGTGAAAAGCTGAAACAGAAGCACGACAAGCAAGCAGAGGAACTGCAGAGAGACTTACAAGCGGTAAGCTAATGTTTTGTACTACATGAGAATGTCTCTTGCGTACTTAAACCACAAAAAAAACATTACCGATTTTTTGCAATTTTTCAGCTACTGAAGTCTTGCGAAAACTAAAATAACTGTCCTCTCCCTCTCTACCCTTCTAGTGGATTCCTATAGTACATATTAATAACAATTAGGCGAAATTGTAAAATATTAACCTAAAAATGTTTAAGTATTTTTAAGATTAATAATTAATAATTTTTAAGATTATGAAATTAAATAGGATATCAGTGACACTCGCCTCCTTTTTCTGTCTCTATCTGATGAGAGAATGACTTTTCATCCCCCCCCCTCCTCCTCTAGCCATGACCTTTTCATAGCACCCAATTATGATTTTCTTACTTGATGTCTGCTTTTGATAAAAAGAAATACTTTTTAACTCCCTCCTTCCGTTTATTTCTTTTGATCTCTACTGCTATCTTCCTTCTCATCCTATTTCACCCATGAACTCTCACAGTTTTTCAACTTTGCTCTTCTGTGTAGTTTTCTGTACTCCCCCCTCCCCAATTCTTTTGTTCCTTGTTTTTATTCTGTTTTTTTTTTTAGCCTTCCCTTCTTAGTTCCTCTTTTGTTTCAGTTTTGTTGAGCTTCATGTTTTTAAGATATTTATTCTCGTTTTGAAAATTTGTTGTGTCTGTGTTGCAGCTGATTGAAATGTACAAAAACGAGGAGCTGGAATACGAGTTGGCGCCAAAAACAGAGTTCTTTGCGTGAGTGTGTTTGGTGCTAGTTATAAGTGCAGAAGAGAGAGCTGTGCTCTGCAGAGAACCATGCTCATTATTTTGGGGAACAAGTACATGCTTGTGAGCGAGCAAGTGATAGAGTAACTCTTGTTCAGTTCCCACTGCTCCATTTATTCTTAGTCAAAAGCAAAATATGTAGAAAATGAGGACAATTCATCGAATTAACTTTAATTTTAAGGAATTGATCATTTATCAAACAGATTGGTTAAATAACTCTAATCCATAATAAGACAAATTTCCTTTAATTTGAAAAATACATAATGCAATTTGTTCTTTCACTTTCTCCCAAAGTTTGTTCCTTATTTGAGTAATGAACTCTTTTAACTGTTCTATTTTGTACTTGTAAGTCAATAAGGGTATTGAGAGATTGCCTACTTCTTTAAGCTGAAATGTCTTGGCATATTTGATTTTAAGAGCTGTTTTTGAATAATTAACACATTCTCATAGATCTGCAAGCTGCATGTATGTTTTGTAATTTTTTTACTTTTTATTTACTGAAATAATAGTATGTAAAAAAATTGTCATATGTTGTCAGCAGGGTGGTACTTCAAATGATCTCATTTGTAGTAGTTTTGGATTGAAAGGAAATTTAAAAAAAGTGCAAAGACATAAATTTGGATACTTCATTTTATTTTGTAAAACTATTTTTGTTATGTAGAGTATTATTTTGAAGTTACATGGTATGAAAGATGTCTATATATATAGCAATTCATATATATTTATTATATATGAATTTAAATGTAAATAGTGTAAGCTATTTTTATTTTTCCTAAAGTGGTTTTAGATTCGCTGTTTTAGGCATCACAAATTTTTGCTGTTGTATTTTCATAGAGCAAACTTTTAAATTATTTTCATTATTATATTTATTTTAATTTTTCTCTATTTTAATTCTTCTCTATTTTAAATACATTTTATCATCTGTTGAAACAAATATGGGAGCATTGTTGCTTCTCTCATATGCCAATTGTAGCCAATCTCTCATTGCTGCCTCGCAGTTGCTCGCTCACTTGCAGTAAGCGTATTGCCTCATGACTCTTGCCTTGTGCTGAACTGGTGTCTTGTGCAAAGTTCTTAGGAACATCGCCACATCTTCAGCTGGACGATACCAAATGATAGCATCAGTAAGACGTACAGATGGCTGCCAGACACACAGTCAGAAAACAAGGGTTCCAAAGCACTGTTCATACTGCAAGCTCAGTTGATCATTTAGTATATCAAAATTTGTGATTGGAAAATCTAAGTTTTGAGATTTCTTTACAGTACTTTGTAAGAAATAGTTTTAATGAATAACTGGCTTCATAGAAATAGCGAATTCTGACCAGCAGTCTTCGTTTTTGGAATATGAAATGCAGTAGATCTGCGTAACGCAGAACAGCAGTACTGTTATTTGTCGATTTCAAATTGATTATAATATGCAAAAATATTTGTTAATGAGGCAGGCATCATCAAAATTTAGTAGCCACTCCTATTGTTAAAGAAATCTGAATTATGTAATCAAACATAAAGTCATTATTTGTCTTCCGGCTTAAAAAATAAGCAATTTCAATTAGTTTGCTAATTGTATGTTAGAAAATTATGTGACTTTGGTAACTGAATTAGCTTGGACAAAAAGCAAAATTAAGTTAAATGACTGAATTTGCTTTGAGTACAAATCCAGAATTCTTGGTGTGGAGCTCATGGTCAAAGAAATGTTTATACCTCTCCAATTTGGCAATGGCCATTGCTTAAGACAAAATGCCAAATCATAATGTTGCATTCCATATTAGATCTTGAAGGTTCTTTTTCGTAATATCCCAACTTTTTATGTGAAAAATTTGTAAATTAATTTTATTTAGTCTAAGGTTGTAAAAAGAATAATTGCTCAAAATTTAAGAATAGATAATATGAGAATGCAGTATTTTCAACAGATATATGTATGTATCTTCAAGTAGTTTTGTTAAGACAATATGTCAAAGTTGAAACCCATCAATAGATATCAAACGAACTCGATGGATAGTAAGTAGGAAGACTTGGGAACCTTCGTTGATGGCAATTTGCAATTTGAATATTTTTTTGCATTTGAAATATGGTTTGGCATTACAACTTTCCATTATGCATTTGATGGAAATCATTTCTTCATTCCATTTCTCTACGTGGTTTGTATTAAGATACATAATCTCAGATATTGTTCATTCATTCTCCAAAATGCTACTATGTGCTGTCTTTAATAGCACTCCTCTGCCTGCATTTATAGAGGAAAGATTCATAATGAACTTGTAGGTCAGTGACATTCTAAAACCAAAGAATTTATAGCAACTTTTTCACTCATTGCATACATGTTACAACTTATTTGTTATAGTTTACATCTAATTTAGTTTCTGATGAACCAGAAATGTTTGTGGACCAAACTTTGAAAAATTTTAAAACTTGAGTTCAACTGGTAAACATGAAGTAAATGTGGGCAACATGAACATTAAGAAAAAGTATTTGTGATGAGGATGAGGATGATGTTATATGTAAATGGAATTGATTATCTGAAGGATTATGAAACTTCAAGTTCCAGTTCTCGTAAACCAGTTGTAGTGGGGCTGGCATTCATCAGACATTATTTCAGTAATGCCTAAATATTGATAAGATTAAATTGGAGAAATGTGTAACTGTTATGATCAGTTCTGAAAAGTTGCCATTTGAAGCCAAAGAGAGATAATGTAATGCCACTTACTAGTACATATTATCTGCTGTGTGTTTGCTGCAGTACATCTGTGCTTCTCTTGTACAAAACATTATTTTATGGAAATTTGGTTCCTTTGGATGCAGATCTGTACAGAATGCAATCATGTAATTTAAACTAATTTTAGAGATGGGATGGGTTTTGTTTTGGAAAGTACATTTGTTAATTCCAGTTCTTGATTAATATTTTTCTATCGTGTATAGATGATGTAGTAAGCGGTGTGCGTTTCAGATGTGGGAGCAGTGAAAGTAATTTCATTGTAATATTTTAATGGTTGTGTGAATGAAATGGCTTGTTAACATTCTTTATGGATTAAAATGTCCATTTGTGAGCCTTCTTTGCAAAGGTGTAGTATGTAAATGTAAGATACAAGATGTAATTGAGTTTTGGAAGAATAGATTTAAGCGAAGCTGAAGAACTGGAGTCATATATACTGAATCGCTGTAGTTAATAACAGCTGTCTTAATCTTCTGTGGGTACTGAAGTGGGACAAACCAGGCGATGAAAATGCGGTTGTCTGTTGGAGCTTTTTGCTAATTATTGTTATATTTCATATAGTTTATGTAGTTGTTTTGGTTTTCAAAGAGTAAAGAATATTGCCTGTACACTTTTTCTTAGTTTTGTATAGATAAGTTGTGGAATGATGATGCTTTTCTGGCAGAAAACAAAGTACTGTTGCTTTCCAATAGTGAGTTCTAAATTAGGCACTGATTTGTCTGTCCATGAGAAAGGAAATTATTTTAAAAGAATCTGTTAAAAAATTTCAAAACATGTTTAAATTGCTCTAATATTAATGAGAGGTATGAAATTACAAAACCAAAATACTAAGTTTTATTGTCAGAAGTGTTATTGTTTTTCACTTTTCATTCATATACGAAAGAACATTGAATAAATTGTCTCTCAATTATTTTATTTTTTAAATTTTATTGATATTCCGAACATCACCACTAAATTTAAACTTAATGGATAAGCTGTGCTATACTAAAGGGGACCAACGATTTTCAGAGACAGTGCAATATGCAGATTAAGGAGTTCAAATTTAAAGAAAAAGTGTGTAGCTAATACTTTGTCTCTCCAAGGATGTAATGACGAAATTGAGGAATGCAAACAAGGAACTTTCAAGCCAGTGTCCACAAATGTTTGAGTACCAGACTGCCACGGTTTTTCAGAAGAAGGAAGTAATAGCTGTTATGAACTGTAGTGAAACTCTTGCCATTTTTTTCCTAAACAAGAAATAAACATGCAAAACAAACTGTAAGGCCTGATTCATAATGAAAATGTTGAAATTGAAAGGACAGCATTCATGACAGCCTCAGAATTAAACATTGAGGCAAAACAATAACACTAACAAAAGCAATGTATATCTCATACTTATTGAAAATGTTTTGGAGATGTGTGAATTTCTTATTATTTAAAACAATTGTTGAAGCATGATAATTTATTTTTCATTGAAACATCTTGTTTTCATTTGTTCTTGTTTGTTTATACTTTTTGAAAGTGTGTGATTGTTTTAGAATGAATTGGAAAATGTTAAAATATATTAACATGGACAGAAAAGTGAACAAACTTCTTTGTAAATGTTTATTGCTAAAGGGAGTGTTAATGTTTATGAATGTGAATGGTCCTGTTTAAGACCATGGCAGCAAGCTTTTGCATCTAAATAATATGTTTCATTGTGAATGAGGTTAAAGTCTCATCTCTCATCTTTATGAACGTTATCCTAGGGCCCTTCCTAGTCTCCTGCCTAGGGCCCCTCCGTTCTGCCAGAGCTTGCCCTCTTGAGCGTAGCTGTCGTTCGTAGTCGAGTTGTCATTTGCAGTTTGGTAACACCCCAATGTTTTAACGAATGTTGAACAGCAGTTGACTGCAATTAAAGTTTGAAGAAAAACTTTTAGCAACTTGTACTGAAAATATGTCAAGTTTATTTTGTAATATTTAGTTGTAGCTGTGCAATTGTCTCTCAGATCAGCACTGCCTAGAGATGATGGATTGTGGTGATATGTTTAGAAAAAGATAAGGAGAGGTGGAGAAATGTAATTTTTTCACAGTATTTGTAGTAATTTGTGAAAGTTCTTTCTTTCTACAATAAAATTGTTAATTTTATATTTCATTATTATAATATCATGAGCTTATTTCATCTAATCTTGTTGTTAAGTAGGATATGAATACTTGCTCACCAAGCAGTTAATTCTCAGTAAAATAGGCAGTGTAGAGCTGGGCCATGAAACTGTTAGTAATACAGATGCATGTCACAGATACAGCTAGTACAATTGATGTTCAAAAGATTTATATGTAATTTTAATATTAATGCCAAATGTTCAATCAATTAATAATGTAATTCTGTGTGACAAGTCACTTTTTCATTGCCAGAATTGATGTATTTCCTTACTTACTAAGGAAATCATTGCTGTCAAAATATTTTAACTAACAAAAAATCCATCAAATGATTTATTTTATTTTGGCCAAAGAAGTGGACTGTCATCATGCATTCTGTGCTAAAAGGGTCTTATGATGTTTTTTGAATTGGATTGTTGGTGGTTGTCTGCGGAGGAGAGAGGAAAAATAAACTGCCCGTTACACCATTGGGGTTCTATCCTTCAAGTGAACAACTCTATAGTAGTTGATGTGTACTTGTAAAGATAGTTAAATGTGTATTCTCTGTTACATTTTACATGTTTATTGTGAATTGAGTGGTCTCATTTTGTCTTATATAGTGAAAGATCTGTACCTACATTATATAACAGAATAAAGTGATATTTATATGTCATATGATGTGTTTTGTGTAGTTTTTAGATCAAAGTTTGTTGAAACCATTTATCATCATTACTTTTTTTGGTTAATTCATCACTTTACTCCCCCTCTGAAATTTCAAGTATTTTCAAAACAGCATAAATTTAGTCACTTTTTAAAAAAAGGAAAGAAAAATGAGATTCAAAATTTCAGGTTAATTTCTCTTTTGTCAGTTTTCTCAAAAATATCAGAGGCTTTTCTACAAGTGAATGAAAATCTTTCTCAGAAAAAACTAAGCTTTTTCAGACTTACAACTTTGTTTTAGAACATCAGAGACCAGGACAGAGAAAGTTGGCTGTTAATTGACAAAAAATCATTGCCAAAATTGTCTATAGGACAAAATTTATGATCTACATCAACTTATTAAAAAAATAACCACATGTAGGATAAAAACTTTAAAATCTCCCATTTTGGTAGCGTATTATCAATTTGATTGTTTTGCAATACCAACTAATTGTATTATAATCTTTGTTTCTCTTTCATAATTGAATAATTTTATTATAATTGTACAACCTGAAGATGTGAATGAATAATTTCACAAAACATTTTAACAAATACTATTTGCCAATTCACCTCAATGAATAAATTTTTAATTGTTTTTAATTTTGATTTTCTATAATAATTGGAAGGATACTCCAATATATGATTTGAATACTTTACAGGATGGGGTGGACAGACTAATTGTACTGTATGCATATTTCACAAATGCGAAAGCATGGTGGGCAACACACTACATTCCTGGCGCTCGTAGTACCTAACATGCCAAAAGTATAGAAAAGGGGCGTATTGGACCATGATTTTGAGACTCCTTGTTTTTTGATATTTAAATATGTCAATTTTTTCAATAAAATCGTATAAAATACTTAATATTCCTAATATTTTCATTATTTTATCCCAAAATATCCTCATTTTTTGTATTTGTTTTATTTGTGTCATTCATTATTATGAATCAAATAATTTTTAAACCATATTTTATCTCAATATAATTTTAACAAAATATAATATATTGTAGCGGTACAGAATCATTAAAATAAATTAAATAGAGTAACGTAGATGTAAGAAATTTTTTACTGAAGAAAGGACCTACGGCGTCACGCGCACCCCCCACCCCCTTCTTGCAACAGCCACGATCCCCTGACCCATTTCGGCTGTTTATGACACCCCGACGGCCGAAGAAAGGGTATATTGTCAAGCGCTCTGCTGCGACCCCGTCCGGAACGTTTTCGAAACGCCTGTCATCGTGATCGGGGAAGCCCAAAATAATAATTCAGTAGCCGGGAAGCCCCTTCAGAGACGTGGTCTACTTTCGAGACGGTAGAGAAGGACACTACGATTCGACAGAAACAGAGAATGGAAAATTTCCGGAACCCGCCGGAGCTTATTGGCCAACTTTTGTGTAAGACGCCATCACCTTTGGCCAATAGCGACGCGATCGCCATAGGGAACTAGAACATACGAGGAGAAAGGGTGGGGGGATGAAAGTTAACTTCGTGACAAATCTTCACTTTGGGTGGGAGCCAGTCGCGGGGAGAGGTGAGTCCACCTCTTGAGAGATTTCATCAGGGGAGGCAATTCTCAGAGAGAACTGGGGTGAATCTCTAGGACAGGCATTTACTCGAAATTTTTAGAGGAAGTGCGAAAGCACTTAAAAAAGAAATTGGCGAATCCTTTGTCATTGCGTATTCGCTGCAGGATTTCGCAATTACTGAACATTTTATTCGGGAGGAATCGCATACGCAGAGGGAGACATTGTTGTGGGCTCCGCACCTGCGATCGGGGGCAATACACCCTGGCCATCTACAAACTCCGCCGAAGCAGCCTCCAGACGGCACTTTGCTGACGTCACGGACTGCCGCCGCCAGCCGCCCTGTTTGGTGGGGGTGCGCGCCCGACCGCATTCCAGGGAAGGCCATCAAGGCCGCCCACAAGCTTTGCCGCACCCACCCGGGCCTACTGAGCGCTTCTGCCACGGAGGGTTCTCAGGCAATGTAACCGGGGGGGCAATAAGCCTTTTGAAAATATTTTCAAAGCGGTGCCGCGCCAAGGCACAGAAAGGTCCTCAGGGACACCTCTGTAATTGTAACTATAAAATAATTTTGTACTCTTCTTTAGATGTAAGTTCTCCTTTAAGTTTAATCTTTATTTTCTTCTTTTTTCAATTTTTTTTAAATTTTTCATTAATGTAACTTCCCTGGTACAGCTTTGTCCAGGAATAAACGTTGATTTTTTTTACCAGTAACCAAATTGTTTATTTTGAATGCCCATGAATTTAGTTTACAATTCCTTCCATCGCCTAATTTTTTAAATAAGTAAAGGGAATAGAACCGACTGAGCTAAGACCGGGCGTCTAACCGCGCATTTCCGACGATCCCACGTCGCCGGTAGATGCGTGGGGGCGTTACAATATTCAACGCTAGACCACGTTTTTATCATTTCATACATTCATTCATGAAACAAACTTAATTCAATAATATTCTCTTCCATAAATTATTTATATATTAATCACAATTTCATAGTTTTTAAGAGATATTTGATATCTTTTTCGTTTAGACAAGTAGCATATCCATTACACTAAAGATTTGTCCTTGTATATCAGTTTTTAGATCCAATGCCACTTTATTATTTCCATATTTTGTATTTACCTTTCTTACATCAGCAATTCACGACCTTTTGTTCATTCAGTTTTTTTATGAATTTTAGCATGATATGTAGTTTGATTCAGTTTCGTTTCAATGTCCATTTAGATGGATAATACTTATCCCATTAGAAATGGACGTTGTATCTACACTGAATCAAGCTACATATCATGTTAAAATTCATTAAAAAAATAACTGAAATAGAGAAGGATTGTGAAATTATTGAATGAAAACCTGGCCTAGGAATTTTGAATTAAAATATGGTCTTGGAATTATTATATTATAAATGTGATTTAATCTATTATCATTCGCATCATATTGTTCATATGGTAGTCGCTACTAGTGAAACAGCAATACAAAAATTAGAAAATCATGAATATAATTCTGAAAAAGATGATGGTAGTATTACAATTCTTAAATTTCAAGAATATTATCAATTACCATTAGAAAGAGAGTTAAATAGTGATACATTATATTTATTGAATCAACCATGATATGGTGTACAATAATCATTTTAAAACATCTTCACAAAAATGGAATAGGAATACAATAAAATGGTATTATAGTAAGGTTAGAGGTAGTTACCTTCCGCCTTTCGTCGCTCGCCCATCGTTGTTAGTCGTTCGTCGCTCGTATTTCGGCTTTCGCATTTCGATTTTTGCCTTTCGCCGTTCATCGTTTGATTTCGCAGTTCTTGATTCGTCGTTTGTCGCTGGACGTACGCCGTTCGTCTTTCGTCGTATGTTAAAATTTTTCAAATTTTTATAGTTTGCAAATTTTTATTAAAAAAAAAATTATTTTCCATTTTTTCGAAATTTTAGATTTTTTGTTTTCTCTCGTTTTTGTGATCTGGTCTTTCGTCAGTCTTTCGCATTTCACCCTTCGCCGTTCGTCGTTTATCGTTCGTCATTCGTCTTTCATAGATCGTCGTACGTCATTCGTAGTTCATTTGTCGTTCGCAGTTCGTTGTTCGACGTCCTTTGATCGTCGTTTGTCGTTCGCCCTTCGTTTATATTTTTCGACTTTTAATATTTTTCGAATTTTTATGTTCAATTTTTTTCCCACATATAGTGTTCTTTGTTTTCCGTCTTCGTCTTCTGTCTTTCGTCATTCGTCTTTCGTAGTTCGTCTGTCGTTCATCGTTCGTCGTTTGCCGTTCGTTTTGCGATGTTCGTCGATCGTCGATTGTCGCGCATCGTAAATATTTTTCGACTCAATATTTTTAACATTTGTGTATTTTTCGAATTTTTATATTTTTCGATATTTATATTTTTCGAAGATTTATATTTGTAAAACTTTTATATTTTTAGAATATTTAAATTTTTGTATTCTTCGTTTTCTCTACGTTTTTGAGTTTTTAGTTTTCCGTCTTCGTCTTCCGTCTTTCGTCGTTCTCTCGTGGGTGGTTCTGTCGTTCATCGTTGGTCGTTCGCCGATCGTTTGGCGACGTTCGTCGATGGTCGATTGTCGTTTGCGCATTTTTGTTTTGATTTTTGTTTTCCGTCTTTCGTCGTTCGTAATTGGTAGTTCGTCGTTCGTTTGTCGTTCGCCGTTCGTTTTGCGACGTTCTTCGATAATCGATTGTCGTACGCGCATCGTATATATATTTGACTCAGTATTTTTCATTTTTTTGTTTTTTTTTGTTTTCAATTTTTTATTTTCCGAAATTTTATATTTTTTGAATTTATATATTTTTCGAATTATTACATTTTTTAATATTTATGATTTCGATTTTATATTTTACGATTTTTATATTTTTTGAACCTATATTTGTCAAATTTTTATATTTTTCGAATATTTAAATTTTAGTATTCTTCGTTTTGTCCATTTTGTGTGTTTTTGGTTTTCCATCTTCGTCTTCATCGTTCGTCTTTCGTGATTCGTCTGTCGTTCATCGTTGGTCGTTCGCCGATCATTTCGTGACGTTCGTCGATGGTCGATTGTCGTATGCGCATTGTATATATTGTTTAGACTCATATAATTTCTATAATTTTTGTTTTTTGTATTTTAATATTATTTGAATTTTTTATCAATTTTTTATATTTTTCTAATTATTATATTTTTCTAATTTTTATATTTTTCGATTTTTTATATTTTGTTTGTCGTTCGCCGTTCATTTGCGACGTTCGTCAATGGCCGTTTGTCGTTCACGCATTTTTGTTTTGTTTTTGGTTCTCCGTCTTTCGTCGTTTTTGATTGCTAGTTCGTCATTCATCGTTTATCGTTCGCCGTTCGTTATGCGAAGTTCGTCGATCGTCGATTGTTGTGCGCGCATCGTATATATTTTTTGACTCGAATTTTTCGAATATTTAAATTTTAGTATTCTTCGCTTTGCCCATTTTC